ATTAGTCAAGAGGAGCAGGGATTCAGTACTGACAGAGAGTAGGATGAAGGCTGAGGGGAGACACTGAGGCGGAAGAATAGGGAGCTGCCACACCAGGCCATGCTGTCAAAGGACTCCATCAATGAAGGGAATGCTTTAATCCGAGACAGTTTCAGTGTGCTACCACAGTGTGTCCCCCAACCAAGGAACTGATAGTTAAATATGTTGTTTGTAACATAGGTAGAGAATATTGCGTAAATTTGTGACTTTTTTAGAGCTACACTGATTTACATCAGCTGAGGATCTGGTCCAATTTTTAAAATTTCAACAGGTCCCTTTAAATTGTCCCCAGGGTGGTTTGGCTTGTGTTTTCTTCATAACATGTTTTTCTTGTTCTAGTTCCTCCTGGAAAGGTAATTCAAAACTAAGCCATTGCAAATTTGCTTTTTTGCCTTGATAGGTTAATACTTCTAGCCTCACTGAAGACAATAATAGCTGAACTGCTGCTTTATGACTTAAGTGTTGAACTCCATCCAGTTTGCTTTTATTGTACTATGTTACTCAGACCTTATCCCTCCCTGTTTAAGTTTCCTTTTTATCAATATTTGAATACAAACACACACAAAACAGAAGAAAGAAACGGGCAATTATTTGGAAACCATAATCTCAGGGTATTAATGGTATAAAATGCTTAATTTTAGCTAAGAGCTTGGCATCATGTATTAATCCACTAAGAAATGGCCCAGTTCAGTCACACTTGCTTCTGCCAAGTTGTGTTTTACTCTGTAATTAGTTTCACTGGTTTAAATAGATCTCCTCACACAGAAACCTGCTCAGTATGAATGAGGGTGGCAGAATTGGGCCTTAAATGATTTATCCACCACAGTATGCTTATGGGCTACACAGCAATCTGCCAGTTGCTCTGTTCCTATTGGTAGAAGTGACTACAACCAGTTAAAAGTGATATATTGTTGCAATTAATGATCTAGCCTGCACCTGCAATCAATTAATTAGTCAGGACACACTACTTTGCTGAAGGGCATCATGGGACCTGTTTGTGTAAAACAAATAGTTGTAGTAATGAATAAAACCACCTATGGTTTTTATTCTTGCAAACACATTCTAAATCACAGTGTTTCTGAATTTACTTCTAGCCTTCAGATTAAGGAAAGGCCATGCACTCTAGTGGAACGAAGAGCTGGGATTTCGGGGGGTTCATTCCATGTAGATATGGGCTTCTGGTCCGCCCAGATCTACCGTGGAGATACAGTGTAACCTTGGAAAATTCAACTAAACATTCTCTATCCCAGGTTCCCAAGCTGCAAAATGGTTATATAGTATTATTTATCTCATAAGGGTGTCGTAAGGCTTGAATTCATCCATGTCTGTTGAAAGTTCTGATATCCTCAACTCCAGGTAAAAGATAGCAAAGCAGTGCAAAGTGTTAATGTATTGCACGTAAGCAGGACATTCACTAGCACTGCCAAGTGTGGCAGATATATCTGAGAATAGTCATGCTTGGAATAATACCATTTTACTCACAAGGAAGTTACACCAATGATTAATTTGGCCCATTTGGGTTTGTAATCAATACCCCATCCACACACACCGTCACAGACACATAAATTAGCCTGCTCACAATTGCAGGACAGCACCAACATGTAACAGGAAAGGGAGAGAAGCAACCACAGAATCTAAAACTAATAACCTTTGATCATTATCATGTAAGCAATCATGCATGACATCTAAAACCAGTCCAGGGATTCCATTTGAATAATATCGACACTAAAGCAAATCATCTATTTTATGTTCTCTCTTGCAATCATCCCAGCCTGTTTGCAGCTACACAGCTGAACTGTGCAGTGTCCCTCCCCCGGCTCCCCTTCTGGCACCGTAGAGAATATCTCACAGGAACAAAGATTAAAATGGTGACTGCTGAGCCTAAAATATCAACAAAACATTGCAATCCTAATGTGTCTACCACAGAGGCAGTTTGCAAGTATCAACATTCAAAGGCGCCTGGACAAATCTCCCCAACATCAGTAACAAACAGCAAAACAGAAACTCAAGTGAAATGAGAAGCAGACACTTCTCGAAGGACATTTTAAAAAAATAATCATCACCCAGCATAGGAAGCGAGAGGAACAATGGGCAGCATGAGGAAGCGTACTCAGTTATTAATACACAAAGCAATTCACCCATCTGGGTAATGCTTAAGCAGTCAGTAGATAATACAGTAGACAGCTGGGAGTAAATCACTCCTTCCAATCAGTACGAAGAGAAACTTTTGAAAAGCTATCATCAACGTGGCTACCGTGACGAATGTACTCATGATGAAAACAATGATTGGCTGGACCACTTAACTCACTGGCAATTCACTTGGGGGCCTGACTTTCAAAGGTGTTTCCAACTCCACAACTCCAGCTGAAGTCTGTGGGAGAAGCTGGTGCTCAGCTGCTCTCAAACCTCTGCCATTGCCACTCCCTTAGGGCCTGGTTTTGAGGCCCTTGCTCATGCTGACTAGTACTTACTGTCCCAAATCAATGGGGTGACTGATGTGGGGAGGCACAGCTCATCACAAGTAAGAATATTGGAATCTGGACCCCAGTGTTTTCATTCTGGATGTGTTGACACTGCAAATCACCAACATGCGCTTTTCAAAAAGACATTCACTCAGGTTTTTGTGAACCAGTTAATTGACGGCTGTGCACTTTGGGCCAGATTTACAAAGGCATTTAGGCATGTAAAGATACAAATATCAGCCTAACGGGATTTACAAAAGCACCAAACCTGTTTTGGTGCTTTTTGTGAATCCCAGTAGGTGTTTATTTGCATCTTTAGGAGCCCAGATCCCTTAATCATGTGTTCAAGTGGAACCTACATAGGTAAAGTGCTGCATATGAAATGACATACTTTTACAACCGAGCCTTACCCCAATTTCACACCAATCGAGCACACTGCGATAACTCCACTTCCTTCAGTGAAGTTACTCCTGATTTACACTTGGGCAAAATTCAGACCTATAACAAAGACCCATTTCGTTTTCTTACCTGTAGGGACGCATAGCTCCCGAATCGCTAGCCCACAGGTGTGGCAAACTGCTCCCATGGCTAAGAGGCAGGAGTGACCTTCAATCCA